GGAAACAATGTTAAAATTATGGCGTAATAATCAAGTAAATGTGAAAAATTGTAAAATAATATAGGCCTAATTTGTTATACATATGTATTATCTAAGATTTTATTAAACATTTTTTTCTAAATTATTGTTTTCTTTAGTCTCCGGCCCCAATTAAAAATTATTTGTATGCATTTATATGCAAAATTATACCCCGACTTACGTGAATTCGACTTACGCGGTTACCGCTCGGTCCCACCTATCGCGTAAGTTCGGGGTATTACTGTAATTAATTAAATATTATAATTATTAATTTTAATACGAGGTGGTGCCTAACGCCTCACTCTAGTGCCAAATTCATTTCTAATTTATAATCATTATATTCAAATTTAGCCCAATCATTTATGGCAGTTGTGGATGTATATTTGCTTAATATCAGGTTTTGATTGGTGTGTATATTTGTATATCTTTACAATTAAAGAATGTTTCAACAATTATTGAATTTCAAGAATAACTATCATTAGATTTGCATCTAAATCTAATGATGGTTAATTATATGCACGAACCAGATGAATTACAGTATTAGAGAATAAAATATAAGAGGACCATGAAGTCCTTAACATAAAAACAATCAATCACTCAATCAATCCATCAGATTTAAAATTTATTCTAGTTTTTATAAAATGTAATAAAATTGCTACAATCCAATATAACCTCCAATATTATTGATATAAAGCATAGTAAAATTTTACAATTCAAAAATATCACTTTTTTTTAACATTCCTATACGAAAAAACCCAATTATAACAAATTGATTAATTTACACTTATTGAATTAATGTAAATTAAAAAGCAAAATTATAGTAAATAAAAAATATTATTTTGATTATTAAAAACTAGAATATATAATCTTTCCAATGTATTTTAAAAACTGTTTTATCTCATACTTCAGCTTTCAGTTTTAAAATATACAAACATATGCTAAAAATTCATTATAATCCTTTTAAAATTTGACCTCTTACTATCACAAGGCAGAAAGTGTTTAAAAAGTTTGAATTTTCATTTTGGCACAACCCGATTAACTTTTGATGTACAACTTAAAATTTCTTTTTAAACATTCTATAAATTTACATGAAAATTTAATTTTTGCATCAATTTGTAAAATGTAAAAATTTCTAAATATTTAATGGAAGATGATATCTGTTTAACTGAATTATAATACTTTTTATTTTTGCTAACTTTCCACCTTTTCTAAAATTCATAACTCAAGACTTCTCTAAATTAATTTTTAACTGCAAATTTTTTAAATGTTCAACAGTTTTATTAATTTTTCATCTGAAGTATTGCTTTCATAGATGCCAAGATAATTACATCATTTGCATAAACTACAGAATGTATAATATAATTTACAGTAAGACCCTGTTTAATGCTACCTCGATTAACACTGATTTGATTTAACAAGGTTTTAACATGCATCCCTCCGCAAGGCTGGCTTAGCAGAGAGATGTACCAACTCTAAAGACGGCAATGCACTATCATATGCCTGGCACTACATATGCAAAGAGCAAGATATCACCGATGTTCCTTAGCACGCTCATATAACCTTGTTCCAATTTATTTTTAAAATCTCAACATTTGAAAATGTTCCAAAGAAAGGCATTCTAAGTTTGAAATCTCATTTATAATTTTAATTTAACCTGAAGCAGACCTCAGGTGAAGCTGAAAATGTTTGTTCTTGAATTGAAATGTTACCTGAAATAAAGGTTTGTTAAGTGTTTTAAAAATAAAGCATAAAGTTTATGTCTTTTTTTCATTAACTGTAACTGAATAATTGCAACAAACAGAAATAAGGCTATCTCAGTTCCACCTACTTTAACAAAGAAAAACTGAATATTTGAAATTAATTATTTTTCTTTAGCCATTGTTTAAGATATTTCAATCAGCCAAAAGCAAATATTTCCCCCCAAAAAAAAAAATGATAATGAAGCAGCTGATCTGTAATTTGTCAAAATTATCTCTGACAACTTTTGAAAATCATTTGCATTATTACACTATTCCATTCCTCAGGAATATGCATATTAACAAATTAACAAAACATTTTAGCCATACCTTTTGCCAAATTTTACTGTTTAAATCCTCTTCAGGTGAAGAAACACTCCTTAAATATTTAATGATATCAACAATCATCACCTAAAAACTTTTATAGGATAATATTGAACTTATAAATCTAATTTTTGTAATTTTTAAATGACTTTTCTTTTTGCAATTTTCACTTGTAACAATCAATATCAAACCATACATTTTCTGGTTTATACATTTAATTATTCTCAATCAGTGTTACATAAAACTGCAGAAAATCTAGCACGCCATAATATTTTTCCAATCATTCAAATGTGTTCTTTCAAAAATTTACAATATAAGATTTCTCTTAGATTTTCTTTCACAACTTTGATTTTGTGCAGTATCTAATAACAATAAATCAGAAAATCAAAACCAAAAAAACTAACTAATTAAATTATTAATTTACTTTTATAACAATGTTGAGTATATAAATCATTTTATTTAAATCAGAGTTTATATACAAGGTGTTTTATGCAAGGTTACAAGTCAATAACTCAGAAAATATTCTTATAATTAAAAAAATTGATAAGAATAAAGTTTAATATTTTCAAACAGCCTTTTTAATGCCATAAAAATAAAACCTCACCCATCTTCTGGGTGGGATAAAAAGTAATTTTGAAATTTCAAATGAAATCTTCCAATTTTTTTTTATATTTTTGAATTCTCAATTAAAAAATAAACTTTTACTAAGCATGTTTTTCAAAAACATAATAATGTTAAAAGTTATGAGCATATTTAGTCATACATTTAAAAAAATAATGGCTTAATAAAAATGTAAATTCTTTTATGAGTTAATAAAAAAATAAAGAAATAGAAATTAATTAAAGTTATTTAACAAATGTTTAAAGAGCTGTCTACTTTCATCTAAATGTTTCAGTAATCAAGTAACAAAGTTTTGCCAAACAGACTGCAACATTTCTGATGTTATTTTAGCATAATCACTACTTATTCTTTGCTTCTCATCTTGAATCATAGCCAGTCATTGAAACAAAAATGTCCTTTATGAAACTCATAGGAAATAATCAATTGGTATCAGGTCCAGTGACCTAGGTGATCTTGAAATTATTCCTGATTCAATCCATTGTTCTTCAAACATGTCATGTCTGTCACTATTACTTTGACAGTAAATTTGATACTAAATATGGAAATCAAAACACACAATATTTTATTAATATGAAATAAATCAAAGTAATGTGATGATAATCTTTGTTTTGATTTCTAAGTGAAAACTTGAAATACAGAATTTTAATTTACTTTAAAAAACAATTCAAAAATGAATACTGCTTTTGAACCACATTAAGAATTGATTAAAAATTAACCATTAATAACTTTGAAATCTGTTTCAATTAATTAGCTCATAAAAAAGTTGCATTTTATTATAACAGTATCTTTCAAAACATACAACTACACATGTCCACTACTTTTGAAATTACCATTTTTTTGATTAAATGTTCTCAATAAAAAAAATAATTTTTTAATAGAGAATGCTATGCCTACACTGTAGCCTAATAATATGGCAGTTCGTTTAGTTTGGTGTTAACATAGAATCCAAAATACAAAATGCAGGGAGATTCCATTTGAAATTTCAAAGTTGACTCCTGTCCCATTCAGAGAGATGGGCAAGACTTTTCTTTTCTACAGCAATACAAAAAAAAAATCCTCTAAAATTTTAAACTTTTATCCTTATCAAATTTTTTTTATTAGAAGCATATTTTCCAAGTTATTGATTTGTAATGAAAAATATCCTGAATAAAATCTTAAACTTTTTCTGAAAAATTAATTCAAAAATATTTATAAATATTTAAATTAAGACTTATATTTACACATATATAGAAAAGAAAAATCAGAACCTTAATAATAATTCTTTTGGAAGTTTTTTATTAATTAAAGCATCATCATCTGATTTTGAAATCTGAAAAGAAAAAACAAAGAAAATGATCTTAATTACAAGTAAATTTTTTCATAACTTTAATAATTTAAATTATTATAAATAATAGATTTATACAGTTGGATTATAAATAATTTTAATATTTTATACATCATACAACTGTTAAGTAATAATTTGAAAACTTCAAGTACTTTTGTTCTTAATCAAAACAACTTATTTAAACTAATAAACTGTGTACCAAAAGTTTCCTTACTCAAGTTTTGAAAATTATTTCTTAACATACTGAAAAACTGACAAAAGAGAGTGTTATCAATTTTGATTTGTGATGATCTTAAATGTATTTTCAACAAATCAATATGGTGAGTTAAAAAACCTCTGGAAACAAAGATTAATCTTTGGAGGTTTATTACAACAAAATCTTATAAACTTTTTCAATGATATATTATAAGTAAGCCCACATTGAATTAACTTGTTGAAAGGTTTCATGATGAAACCTGAATCTTTTTTTTTATCACATCATTTTTAAGGACTTGTGGCCACGTCCTTAAGAAGAAATTTGGTAAATCCCCAGGTTTTACCAAATTTCTTCTTAAAGAGACATCTAAAGGATAGAGTTTATGTAAATAACACCCGTAATTTGGATGACCTGAAATGCAACATTTCAACAAGCATAATAGATAGCATGTCAACAATTTTACAATATTTCTTTGTAGAAAAGGGCTGGCAGAATTACAATTTAATAAAAAGTAAAATACAGCTGGATACGAGTCCAATTTTGCTTGCCATGTCTAATCACCAGGAACAACTATTTCCATTGTTGAGACAACCTTTCTTTAGAGGATATGCCTCTGCACAAATATGTAAAACAGTTTAAAATGTTCACAGGTGACAATCCCAACACAATTAAAAATATAATATTTCTTTGTAGAAAAGGGCTGGCAGAATTACAATTTAATAAAAAGTAAAATACAGCTGTTTTAAACTGTTTTACATATTTGTGCAGAGGCATAGCCTCTAAAGAAAGGTTGTCTCTGCAATGGAAATAGTTGTTCCTGGTGATTGGACATGGCAAGCAAAATTGGACTCGTATCCAGCTGTATTTTACTTCTTATTAAATTTTACAATACTTGAACAGTAGCATTTTCAACATCTATGTACAGCTGATGGTCTGTACATTTGTTTTGTTCATTTACATTTTGTACACACATTATGTTTTAATTAAACAAATTTTATTGAATAAGGAAACTTTTGGTACCTCCCGTATAAAAGAAGTATACAAGTTATTTTCAGAGTTGAAATAAATTATGAAATTTATTTCATAATTTCATAATTTATTCATAATAAATTATGAAATTTATTTCAACTCTGAAAATGGCCTTATTAGATTATTCCCTGAATGCCTTATTTTTTCAAGTATCAATTAGATACAGATTCAGAAAATCATCCCATTTTCTGTCAACTTAAATTCATCAACTTACTTTCAGAAATTGAAATTATATTTTCTGTAATAGTTTTAGTTACATAGAAAAATGAACATAGACCTCAAAGTCAGTCCAGCAGTCATAAAATTCAAATGTTTTTGGTCTACCCTGAAGATATTTGCCAGAAACAGTAAAAATTCTAAGGTGAAATGTTCAAAGAACAGAAATTTGAAATTTCAAAGTGATTGAATAGTTAAAGGTGGGCACAATGATTGGTTTAGCACTGAATTACCAAGGATCATCATAAAAGGCTTGCCACACATGGGAAACTGACTTCTCTTCACTATTGATACAGTTACCTCTCTTATTAGCCTTAAACTCCAGGACTTCCAGTTCCCTAATGTGCTCACTGCAGGGATGCTCTTAATGACTTTGTTTAGAATAACTAAATCATTTTTTAAGAATGCTCCTATGCAGTGAGCTCATTAGGAAACTGGAAGTCTTGGAGATTAAGATATATATGTATAAGGCATACTATATATTCATTTAATGTAAGTATAATTAATATATATACACTGTCTTTCAGCATTTAGTTTAATCCAAATATACACGAGTACTTTCAACATTTTCATCAGTTTTATTCAGGTAAGTATAGATATACAAAAGTTCTTTTGATAAATAAATTATACTAGTATCAAAGTTCAAATTTTTTTTTTTTTATAAATAATTTTCAAATATTTATTATTTGAACATCATTTTAACTTTCATAAGGTTATATATAACTCTTATCTCAAAATTGTCTAAATTCCTTTATCATTTGTTTGTATTATAACAACAGTCAAAATAAATTACTAACAATAGTATCATCTATCACATTAAGTTATCATTAAATGATTATTATTTTAATAATTGAATAATAAAAATTAGGTATATTTCAATTATAATCAGCACAAAATGATTGAGGAGTAACACTCAAAATAAAATCAACTAACCATAGTGAAATCTGATCAAATTACAGTTAACAGGTTTAACATACTATAGTACAGGAAATGATACTAATATCTTTTAACACATTTTGTTTCCAAGCTCCTATGTACAAGTGCCAGCACTTATGAATATATGTAAGTCAACTAGTCCTACCAGCACTTCTGGAAATTTTCCAATTTCCTGATGGCCCCATCTGCCTCTGTCCAATTATTCTTTCATACTTGTATACTAACAACAAAAAACTATCACATAAAACTAATATGAATATTGTTTTCCATTAAGTTTACTTGTAACTAAATAATAAAAAAAATGTAACATAATATTCTTTTCTTCAAAATTATGAAGTTTTCTACAGGAAAGCTTATCTATTTATTAATAACATTAATTAATAAATTTCATTTTATGAATTATTTATCTTTGTTTTTTTAGAATGTTTTGAAAATTATTAAATTAAATTAGGTTATTCTACATCCAAATATAGCATGTTTTGGCATTGCATTGTTTAATTTCGACACAGCAATCATAAAAGGTTACTAACCCCAATTTTATTACATTTTATTATTGCATAATTTTTTTTATTTTTTATAGATTATCTCATTTTTTATTTCCACTAGTGTGTGATAAAATTTAGGATTTATATAGAAAAAAAAATTATTTTGTAAAATTTTTATTCCAATGAAGGATATTGATGACAGTGGCGTGCCAAGACATTTGATGATAGGGAAGCTGTGTTTCTGTAAGAAGCTGACATCCAGGGGCAATCAGTCAATTGTGCGTCAGTGATGGTCTAGGGACCATTCGTATCATTTATTCAATAACCCAGTAAAAACCGTAGACTTTTCTGAATGTATTTTTAATATCACAATTACATTCCGAATCGCTAGCCACGATATAAGGGATACAATTAAAAATAAAATAATAAAAACTTACTTGGTGAAATAAAATGTGTGGTGGATGTACCGGTACATACAAAATATTCTTCAATTGTATGAATATACTTTTAAAGAAAATTATAATTAAATATAGCTTTGTTAAGAAAAGTACATAAAAATATAAAATATTCTTTACTTTTTAAAGCTTAAAACAATGCAATTACTCAAATAGCTCCCTACACGTGGCTAATGGATGGAATTGAAGACTGTTACAGAGTGACAAATGGATACATAAATTGTAAATTTAAGGAAAATAAATTCTAGAGCTTTTTCTGTACCTCGTGCATCTCTCTCATTCATTAAATTTAGTCGTAAATGACGCTGTCAAAGTAACAGTTAATTTTTTAACATTATACAAGAATTGTATATGTTTTTTTCTACATCCCCTTATAGATGGGACATACTAAATCGTAATATCACTGGTTGAACATTGAAATCCGTATGTAATATAAAATGGGAGAGCGGAATAAAAATATCAAATATTTTAATGGATTTTTTTAAACCCCTGTCAACTATACAGAATTATCATAAAAACATACCAGTAAATTCTTATCGGTTGGGTTAAGTTATAAATCTATCTACTTGTGATTCAAGTAATTGGGCGAGGGCAGCTAACAGCCCAGAACCGGTCCCGGATAGAATTGGATGCGGTATACGTGTAGCATCCACTCAAGGTCCTAGGCTTCCACCAGCTAAACCGGGTGAGGTTGGTGCTCTGTAAAGCACGTGCGCGAATCTGGCTTTTTGGATGCTGACGATACAGTGCTTCCACTCCGCCACTAATATTTAAATATACAATAGCGATCTTATCTTTTTTTTCACGTGTAGTATAGAAATTTTTAATAAGATACATAATGCAATTATAATAAAATATTGTGCGATTATTTTCATATAATTAAAATTAATATTAGTGTTGCAACGAATAGTATATTCGGCCTCAGGCCGAATAGCCGAATATTCGGCCAAACTATTCGGCTCGATTAACGCACATACGAAAATTGGCGCGCAAATCGCATTATGGCAAGGACCTGCTCTCTATTGGCCCACTGTCACTACGCTTCGCCAATCGCGTTAATTCTTGACAGTTGTAGCGGACAGACAAGAGCGTCATGGCAGTATGTGATAAATGATTATATCAAATGTGAATAACAATGAAATGACCAACACGTGTAAATAACGGAAAAAGAACAGAGAAAGACCGCGAAGTGAAAATGTGAAAATAAATATGAAATTGAGTTGATAACATAATCGAACAATTCGAGGCAGCTTATTTGCGCGAAATTTGCGGCCGTCAATGCCAAACAATTGTCATAGACTTCGAAAAGTTAAATGCTTGTAATGAAAGTCACTTAGCGTGCACGGGCGAAGGCCTGGGGCCGTTTGGGCTATCAAGCTGTCTCGAATCTGTGAAATCATAACTGTGACATATACCAACGTCCTATGTGTCTCTTTTCTCCGTTATCACCAGGTATAAGTCGCGTAATTATAAAACGGAAAAACTACGAATCGAAAGTATCGTGAGAGCGTATTATGATGTATACATAAGCATACGTAGACTAGAGAGATAGAGGAAAGAGAAAGGGAAGAGCAAAGACGAGCGTTTAAAAAGAAGGATAGGCAGGGACAGATCCTCACATGTGCGACGATTCTCGCCAAACAGTTC